CCAGGTGTGGCGGGTTCCAGGAAGCAGGCGATCCCCGTGTCTCTCTCACATGGATGTGTCTGTCTCTCCCTTTCCATCTCCCTAAAAATCAATGGGAAACCTACCCTCGGGTGAGGATAAAAAACAAAAATAAAAGCCAATCAGGCTGAAAAGACCGTCTCTAGGGGCAGACTCGCCCGTGGCGCGGGGCGTCGGCGTCGGTGGGAGAGTCGGGCGGCGGCAGAGCCCGCGAGTGCTCACCGAGGCCCGTCTCGTCCCGGTCCCGGGGCTGCCCTGCGCCGTGGCTTCCGGGCCGAGGCCGTGAGTCCCCAGGAGCGACCTGCCTGGGGCTTCCGGGCGCCCCCTGAGCGGGTCCCGCCTTCCCGGGTCGCCGGGCGCCTCACTTTCTGGGCTGCGGGGGCCCCGGCGCCAATGGTCCTGAGCCAACCGCGCGGCTGAACTGGCCGGAGGGTCGCCCAGTGGGGCAGCTGCGGCCCCCGATGCTGGGCCGCCACCTGTGCGGTGCGCCCCGCGGTCCCTAGAGAAGAGCGCAGGGAGGGGGCGCGGGTCGGTGGGCTCCCCGCCCTCCAGGCCGCCTCTTGGGTCCCCCGTCGAGGCTGCTGCGTCCCCACAGCCCCAGCATCTGTCCGTCTCCATCTCCGTCCCTGCGGGGCCAGGGGTCGATTCCCCAGTCCCCGTGCGCCCTCAGCCCTCAGAGGTTCACGTGGGCCGCTCTCCACGCCTCGGCAGCTCTGGCACCGGCCGTCCTGCCTCGGTTGTTGTTGGGACAGAAGGGATTTGGACCTGAGAGGCCCGGCAGTCCTGGGGGAGGCGGGCTGCAGCGCAGGGCGGGCCCATCGGGGCCACTGGGCGGAGGTGTGTGTCCTGCGCTGTGCAGCCCCTTAGGCATCATGGTCTTAAGTAACCAGCACGGAGGTTCATGGAACTGCTGGGCCGGCGGGGAGTCGGGGAGTCAGGAGACCTGGGTCCCGCCCCCCACCAAGGTCTGTCACTGGAAGGGGCACCTGGTGCTCCTGTCCCCCCGGAAGTGGGAACCCCTGGGGGGTTGGAGGTGGGTCGGTGTCCAATTTGGGCCGAACCAAGGGGTGCCAGATAAGAGCCTGATGTTTTCCTAGCTCAGTGGTCGGCAAACCGCGGCTCCGGAGCCACATGCGGCTCGTTGGCCCCTTGAGTGTGGCTCTTCCACAAAATACCACGTGCGGGCGGCCCACGTATAGTGCGATTGAAACTTCGTGGCCCATGCGCAGAAGTCGGTTTTCGACCTGGGCGAGTCTATTTTGAAGAAGTGGCGTTAGGAGAAGTGGGGGTACGTTCGCTGAGGTCGACCCCTCAGATTGAGGACGTTTTTAGCAAAGGCCAGCTTAGGAGTACCCTAATTAAGTTAATAACAATGTACCTACCTAGATAGTTTAAGTTTAAAAAATTTGGCTCTCAAAAGAAATTTCAATCGTTGTACTGTTGATATTTGGCTCTGTTGACTAATGAGTTTGCCGACCACTGTCCTAGCTGATAGAACAGGCTATAAAAAATGTTTGTACGCCTGTACAAATGTGTTCGTTTTAAGCTGTGTCATTCCAGAGTTGAAAAGTTTTTTTTAAATTAGGTTTAAAAAGTAAAAAAAGTGTCCTGGGTTCCATCCCCAGCCCCAGTTCGGGCAACCAATCGATGTGTCTCCCTCCTCCCCTCCCTTTGTGGGGTTTCCCTCACAAATGCAAGGCTAGTTTAATTTCCGAAAATCAGTCAACGTAATTTGTCATTAAGACTAAAAAAGGTAAAGAAAATTAAAAACTATGTGGTCACCGGTGTTCAAGAAACACCCCCCCCCCCCACACACACACACAAAAGAAATAAATAAAAATGAATTAAAACCCACAAACCCCCACCTCCTTGTATTCTCAGCCGTGGAGTCTCGGTCCACCTTGTAACAGAATTAGTCCGTGTTACTCACAGACCGTGTCATAAATGATGACACACCGTTTTCCTATTATGGTTCGAATGGATACTATGGCTTCATTATTCTGAGTTTTGGATCGCTTGCTTTGGAATTATTTCCCAAAAAAAGGATTACTTTCAGCAAAGATATGGGTAAAAAGGAATGAACTACTGACACACAAAACATCGATGGATCACAAAATAATTATGCAGAGTCAAAGCCAGACATATCTTATTAAATTAGTCCATATAGAGCATATATAAAATTCTAGGAAATGCAAAGAACTCTAGTGACAGAAAACAAGAAGCGTGTTTGCCTGAGAGTGTGTGAGGGGAGAGGGATTATAAAGACAATCAGGAAACGGTTTCACAGATGCAAACGTATTGGAACTTGTCAAATTGTACACATGGTTTATTACAGAAAATGTTTGAATCAATTGATAGTGAGCACAGCCGTGAGAGAGACAAATATGTCAGCCCTGAGAATTCCTGGAAGCCCTCCTACCAAAGTCATAGTGAAATGTTTGTGCAAACACTTTCAGAAGTCACATCCCGCCATCTGCTGCAGTCTCCCAACTCCCCAGTAATCAGTGTCTCTGTACAATTACGACTCCTACCTGGTGCTTTTAGGGGACAGGGACATCTTCCTACTGAAGAATACGCTTTGGGGATGTTGCCAGGCCCCAGGGGTCAAGTTCTGCCAAGGAGGGAAATGTGAAACATGGGTTTGTTGTTCCTGGGAACAAGGAACCCAACTCACGCTGTTCCCAGACACACCGGAGGTTGTCACAGCAAATGCCCCGGCTCAAGGTCTCACAGATGTCCTTGCATACGGGTCACAAGGTCAGGGCCTCAGAGATGGGGCATCTCCCCTAGGTGGCCTTTGAGCAGCGATGCAGGTTGGGCTGAAACCAGAACGAGAGCTTGCCCCACTGCACTGGAGCCGACTTCGCTTGGG